ATGATGTGCACTTTCGATGAATAGTGCCTATGTTTTGAGAATCCTGATTTATTCGGTCAAATCCTGATTTTTTTCTTGAAAATTCCTGTCCTGATTCCTGATTTTGCATACTAGGCCGCTGCGACCCCTGAGGCTTTGTACAAATATAATAACAGGAAAGAGTATGTTTAGAAGTATAACGTAGTGTGCTTTGCCTTGTGATGCACATCTAAGTTTGTTTTGAAACGAGTATTTTGACGCAAACCTTAGTATTGTTAAAATTGAGCTAAAAACACGTTAAACTTTGCTTCACTTTATGGAATGTACCCGATTAAAGAGTCCAATTCAAATTCTGGCATGGTAGTCTGATGCATCACTCATTTCTCTTGAAATAAGTCTGAGCGATATTGACTCAATTTTTTTTTTGTCGGATTATACAAAATTTTCGGAAAGTTTCAAATTCATAGAGTCAAAAATTGTTATTTTTTTAAGCTTGAAAAAGAATAAATCATTTACGTGATGAGCATTAATAGAAGAATTTTTATAATATGATCAAAATTTGAAGTTTTTGAAGTCCTACAAGGTTGCTACCTGAGTTTTTTCATTATTCAATAAATTGACTCAAACAGACTGTTTTACTTATGAAACTTAGACATATTTGAGTCTGGCAGTATTATTTATCTAATTTTTCTGCTGAACATTTTTTCCTACAACTTGTGATACGTTCTTGTAGAGAATTGTATTTGTGAATTTAAAAAAAAGTATTAAAGCTTGGTGATAAACTTTGAGTACAATATTGAGAAAGTACTCAGAGTTATATTTATTCTGATTCGTTCATTATTTAGAAAAAGATCGATTCATAAAGAAAAATGCAATCAAAATTTTTGCTCGAAAAAATTATTTTCTTCATAATTTAGAATTTTGATTACTATTGTAATGTCGTATGAAAAGTTCATTTCAAGAGAATTCTAATATCTCAAAACCAAAACTTCAAAACTAGTTTTGATTTTAATACATGCCTTCTTATAATCAAAAATTTGAAAATCTATAAGTATAACGAAACATTTTAACATTCGTTGTTTCGAGATTTTCTGTTAGCGAACAAACGAGTTTCTTTCGTGAGCTGAAAAATGTGTACATATGGGCATTAATGAGAGAGAGAAAGAGCTATTCAGTAATTGACGAAGAGGAAATAGATATGTTTTAATATTATTCTGTTCAGCTGCTTCCTATTATGAGATTATACACAGTCTAGAAATGAGGCGATATAAGCTTTCGTTAAATCGATAGAAGAAATCTTTAAGTGAACAATGAGATATCCGAGAACACTCAATGATAGTTGGTTGAAATTATATGAGAACTTATCAAACTCAATAACAAATGCCAATATTAGTCGACTACGATATTCATTTTTGAAACACTGATAAAATCAGAACTACCTCTTTCAAAATTATTGAAATATATCTCCCGGTTTTTCTGAATTGTACATAAGACTCTACAATCATATTGTCTGACAGAGCCATATCAGTACATAGCCTTATAGAAGGTTTTTTCTCAATTTCTTCAAAGTTCTATAGTTGCTAAAATGTATTTATGTATGTTTTTTCTGATAACCGTATAGAAATGAACTTTTAGTTGGTCAGTAATTATTATAGATCGTATTGAAATTGTTAGAAAGTTTGAAAACTTCAATTTTTCGGATCTTGTACACTTCTATTCTTGTAAGTGAATCAAATAAAAGTCTTCCTTCAAACTTTTAACCTGCGAAACAAATCAGTAGCGCAATGTACTACTATATTCTGTTGGAAGCATGCTTAATAAAAAATTTTCAAAGAAAAAAATCTCAATATACACAATTATATATATTTATTGTTAAGTATAATGATTACAAGTTTCTTTTTTCAGAAATCTAACTATTTATATCGAAAATTATTTTTTTTTTCTTTCTTCTTAATTTATGCATTCAAACATCACCGACAATAATCAATGACAAAAAAAAGAAAAGAAAAAGAAGATGTGTATTATATATAAATAAAGAAACTTAGGTAAAATGAATCGAACAATAACAAAACAAAAAAAAAAACAAGCGAAAATAGAATAGAGTGAATACAAATTTGTTCATGTATTAATACAATGAATAAACATATAGTTATATTCTAGACATAATCATTATGGATTTATTTTCTATTTTTTAAATCTTCAAATCGACGAGCTAAATCATCAAAACCAGGATCATCTGAACCACCATGAACAGCAGGTGGTGCTGAATGATCATTTGCATTTGGAACTTGTGGAAACGGATCATTAAATGGTGTTTTAGCACTATAATCAGCATTAAAACCAATACGAGGTGCATTTGATGATGGTGGTGGTGGTGGTGGTGGAATTGATGGTCCAAAATTAATATTTGGATATTGAGGTTGAGGCTAAAACACACAAACAATTACGTATCAAATTTTAATAAAAGAAATTTTTCTATCACACGAGCATGGCAAGAAAAAAAAACGACTTACTCTTAAATAAGCTGGAGGTGGTTTTTCAAACTGTCAAATGTTAAAGGGGATTAAATATTTTAGTATTACAATCACTTTCTTACACAATATATCACTTATTTAAAAAAAAAAAGCAAACAACTTACTGCTGGTGCACTTGGGTGAGCTGATGGAACAGTTGGAAAATCTAAATGACCTCCACCACCACCACCTCCAGCACCACTATTTGATGAAGCACCTCCTCCACTTGATGGTGGTGGTGGTGGTCGTTTGTCATCATTTATATTTGATAGTGGCCGTTTTTCATCATTTACATTAGTTTGTTGAACATAACGTTGTCCAATAGTCCAAAATTCATCTTGTGCCATTATAGTTTGATCGGGTTCAAATGGAACATTTTGACTTCGACATATTTCAACTAAATATTTTTCAATAAGTAATTTTGGAATAAGATCACAACTTAAACAACGTAAAAGATCAACATCAACCATTCCAATTTTATTTTGTTCACACATTGTTACATATCTAAAATAAAAGATTATTATTTATTTAAACGAAAAAAAAAGAAAAAACAAATGAAATCTTTTACTCTGGTCCAAAATGTTTTTTAAACATTGTTGTTACTTGACCAAGTTCAGGAATATCTTGTGCAAGAAATGGTGCAGCCCATAAAACATTTGCTAATGGTTGTTCAATAGCTGGATCAACTGCTCCATTTTTTCTAAACAATTAAATTATAGAAAAATCAATAAGCTTTCTTCATCAATTACTTATTGGCCATGCACAAGTACAAAAAAGTGACTGTATGCTGAGACAATTCTCACATGATTCATCCAATTAAAAGATTATAAAGGATTTAAAGGATTCATAGAGACGACCTAACTGGATACTGTTACATCTGCTACCTCTATCGTCGAATAATGTTTCGTCTACTCTTTTAGAGCAGGATATATTTAATAATCCAACTTAAACCAAATGATGTATCAGCGATCATTGTTAAAACATAGATATTGAATAGGAAAAGTGAACAATAAGTAACATGCAATGCAAAATAAAATATCGTAATGTACGTATACTTAATGTTCAAAGTTTACAATTGGAAAATCAATAATAAGATGTCGTTAAAAATGAACAACTTAATTTTTTTCAATATACTTATATAACATATATCTGCGTTATAAATGTTGATATCTTTTGTATTTTTGTTGTTATTCTTTATTAAACAAGTTAATCTCTTCTATATTATATATAATTATGAACTACTATAATTGGTAATATAAGGACTGAACTGAGAAATCATCGGATGAGATCAAATGAGGAGGGTAAACTCGATATATTAGCTTTTGTTTTATCCTTTTTTTTTCTCAATCGTCTTGTTAGGATATCCAAACAAAACAATTGAGAGAGATTAAAGAATAGGGACCATGATTAGTAATAAATAAGTTGATATATGGTCAACTGGTGTGCTGGAAAAATGTCGAAAGGAAAAATGTCGAAAAAAGAAAAAACGAAGAAAAAACATCGAAAGGAAAAATGTCGAAACGTACATATTAAAGCGAAAAAAATGTCGAAAGTGAAAAATAAAAAAATAATGATGTCTCCAGTATATGGCGATTCTAATCCCATTTAGCTCATTGTTTTTTCTTATNTGAAATTGATATTGTAGAAGATCAAAAGTATATTGAACATTTTAAAGTAATGACATAAGAAACAATTACTGAACTTCATATTGAAGGTGAAAGTACATCGATATGAAGTGTTTGATTGTTTGCAAATTTTGTTCAATAGTACTTTGAATCATGATAGAGATTAATTCAACAAAACAAGACTTATTCGGGATTCAATTCTAAAATAACACAAATTTTAGAGCAACATTTTTTCTATTATGAGAGATTCAAAAACGGTAGTTCTATTCAATGAGCTTTATGCTTGTATCACTTACGAGAAACTCAGTCGAACTGATACCTGTTATTGAAGCTTATATTAGAGCTACAAGAACACTTTGACGAAACTAACAAAAGTCTAAAAGCGATCATTCCCATGGACCACGGGAGCCAAATTAGATTCGTTTTACTGAATTTTTAAGTACATACCAATAAAAACAGAAGTTTCTTTGTCAAAATGTTGAATATTTAAGTAAACTCAAGTATTATATATCACGGTTTGTGACAAATGATTATTTTTTGCAATCCGATACTTCAACAAAAGAACATTGTTTTCTCTTGAAACTTTCAGAATATTCTACGAATCATTCAACTTTGTTATTAGCATTAGTTTACGTTAAAATTCGGTAAAACGATGCTAACTTGGCTTCAAAGGCTCACGAGGACGAACTTTTTTACAATTTTGCTATTTTCATTAAGACGTCTTTCTAAGTTAAATATAAGCTAAAACGATGGGTATAAGTTTGGATGGTTTTCTCTTTAACTTCATTCAAAGTTTTTCTATGATAATACATGAAAGATGATGTCTACTAGAGATCACTTTGAGACAGCATTAAGAATCAGAAAAGGAAAACAATATGATTTTGTAAAAACTTCTGTGCAGTGCAGAACTCATCGGACAGGTCTGGATTTTCAATTCAGTGGTCGTAAAAATGAAATTATGCCAAGACAAAATAATATTGCTTGAATCATTCAAAAGTTATTCACATGGTGTATTTAACTCGTTATTTATCTTATAAAATGAATTTAAAATAAGATTTTTTTTGTTTTGTTTTTATTCATAGACAATCTGTCGATAGAAAGTGATAGTCTTCCAAATAATCTTCCTTATTCTCGTCAAAATCTTGCTGATCGTATTGCATTATGTATTCAAGAAAAATTCAGTCAATTAACTCAAAATAATGCACGTCTTCAACGACGAAAAGTTTTATCTGGTATTGTTCTTCTACATAATTATAATCTTGAAACAATGGAAGTAATTTGTATAACAACAGGTACAAAATGTATTAATAGTAATCGTTTAACACGGCATGGACAAACATTACATGATTGTCATGCTGAAATATTAGCACGTCGTTGTCTTATTCGTTATTGTTATGAACAATTAAAATTATTTCTTAATGAAAAATATGATGAAACAATTTTTGAAAAAATTTATAATAATAATCGATATCAACTTAAATCATCAATTACATTTCATTTATATATTTCAACAGCTCCATGTGGTGATAGTCGACTTATTTCACAACAAGAAATTACATGTGAAAAATCATCATTTATAAATGTAAATCAAAATTTAAAATATTCATTAAGAAAATCTTGTGGATTATTACGAAGAAAAATTGAAGTTAGTGAAGGTACAATACCTGTTTTAGCTAAAACAATATATGAAAATATACAAACATGGGATGGAATACTTGCTAATGAACAACTTTTAACTATGTCTTGTTCAGATAAATTATGTCGATGGAATTTTATTGGTTTACAAGGTAAAAATAATAATTTAATCATTAATTTTTTGATTTCTTCTATTAGCAGGTGCTTTATTAAGTACATTAATTAATCCAATTTATTATACTAGTGTTATCATAGGAAGTTTGTATAATAGTGAACATATTCGACGAGCATTATTTTCTCGAATAGAACATGTAAATAGAAAAAAAAAACCTACATTGTATAATCAAAAAAAAAAAGAAATATGATATAAATATTTATAGAAAGTGTATAATATTCCAACTCCATATGGATTACGACGACCATTTATCTCAGATATCAAGAGTTCGGAAATGAGAAATACGATACGATCATCAAATCATGCATTTATCTGGAATTGTATTGATCAAAAATGTGAAATCATTGATAGTACAAGTGGATTGACAATATCACGTAAGATTTCATTTTTTTCATGATATATTTCGAAGATAAGATCGGTTTGAATTTTTCTGGATATTTTTAAAGAGAATAGGGTGTGCATTTTTAAATCGAAAGTTTTTCAGCTCTCTTTCGTCTAAATTCTAACGATTGAGATCATAAAGATCACAGATCAATAATTATGATTTTTCTAGCGACCAAGAATAACAAACTTCAAAGTTCCTCGCCAATGAAAAAATGTTTTGTACGGTATTAAAAGCATGATTTAAACTATTCTAGTCCATTCCAAAACCTTTCTCGATATTTGAGTGGCTGTAGTACGTTTGTATATATTCTATACATCACAGTCGTCATATGATTAATATAAACTGCATGAATTAATCCCGGTATAACTTTAGAAAATAATTAATATCAATGTTTCTGAGTTAATCGAAATATATGATATTTCTATGAAGATCGGTTATCCTTGAAAAATACTTAATAGTCTGTTAGAAATTGTTCAGTTGCCGTATTTTTTATTTAATATAATCTTATTGTTGATATATTTACATACGAAAAATTGTAGGTGAACCATCAATGGTATCAAAAGTAGCTTTATTTCATCAATGGATAAGTTTAATGAATAAAATTAAATCAGAAACAATACCAACGATTTATTATGATGCTAAACAATTAGCTATAGATTATCAAACAGCTAAAATTAAAGTAGAATTTTGTTTTGTTTTTTAATACTTAATGATGTTATTATTATTTTTGTTTATAGGTTAATCAAGCATTTGAAAATTGTGGATCTGGTCTATGGATTGTATGTATTTAATTGAAAATAGAAAATCTTGAATTATTTGTTTTCATATATAGAAAAAACCAAATGAACAAGATGAATTTGATTTATCATTCTTCAATGTATCGTTGTCTTCACAAAGAAATGAATCGATTGTATCCGTTGATTAAATGAATTCGATTTTTTCCTTGTTTTCATAGTCTATGACGAATTTTATGTTTATTTTAACACATAGGTTTATTTTGTTTTTCATCTTTCTTGGTTTATTTTGTGATTAAAATAATTTATATGCAATATTTTTGAGTTTAATTATTGAAAAATAATAATGATAGAAAAAATATATTGACTGAGTCAAAATATATAATTTGATTATTTTTTGTATTTTAATGGAAATTTTGTTCGAAAGAGCAGTATTGTTCAATATCCTAGGAATTGGTTCTTCAGCAGTTGATCTTGTTTTCTACCGTGATCATCTACTAAAGCTAAAAATTATTTGAAAATAACCAGTATCAGTTGTAGAGATGAAACATATCTCGATATAAATTCTATTGGAGACGCAATCATGTTTCAAATCTTTACAATCTATTATGTCACTAACTTCTTTAATTTATATTGCGAAGCAAAATGAATACCATTGAGTGATGAATGGAGATATGCGGGACTAAATTTGTTTTCAGTCCTGGCTTCCCCTTAGATAAGACTATTTGAGAATTTATTTCGATTCAGTGTAAAATAAAAAATCTTAAATGTAACGTAATACTATTTTGCTATTTGTCACTTTTACAGTCTTTCAACGAATCTAGAATTAAATGGGAGTGAAATAAAATTTTCGCAGGTTAAGGATCAGTGATAGATCTAGGATTTTAATAAATGAAGACATTTCAATGGAAAGCGAGGCAATTAGAATCACAAAACGTGTTTTGAAGCCCAATTTGAGGCTGTATCGACTCATTTTTTGGGCGTCGTCTGCTGAGAAAAATAGTTTGAACGGAAGGCGTGATCGTCCGTATTGCTTCTCTCTAAATTCGTCACTCGTACGGATAGAGTACGATTAGATAACTTTTCTCAATCAGGATACAAGATATGAGAAAAGTTTATCCTATGCATCACTAGAGTCTGAATTTCGCTTTGATTGATATGGTTTATAACACTTCACTAACAAACATAGAAAACTGAACTAGAATATATTAGCTCCAGTTTAAGTAACTGTTTCTTTCGTAATTTCGGCCACCAGTACTGCGACTAAAACTGGTCTCACATATATCTACTAATGAATAGATGATTCATTTAACGGGTCTTTATCGAAAATAGAATTCATCGAAATCCAGTTCGAATTTGAATGAAACTTATGCTATTAATGAATATATATATATTTTAGAAATTCATGTCGTTCACATTAGCATCTCGGATTAGATTAAACGATGGTCATTTAATGCCCATATTTGGTTTAGGTTTGTATCAAGCAGCATCATCATCAAAAACGACTCAGATTATAACTGATGCGATTCGTCTTGGTTATTCATTAATTGATACAGCTGAATTATATAGAAATGAATCTCAAGTAGGTGAAGCTGTAAAGAACAGTATTGATCGGAAAGAAATATTTATAACAACAAAACTTTTTCGTACTAATGATGGTTGTCAAGGTCTTTATAAATCATTTAATCATTCTCTTCAACAACTTAATACTAACTATATTGATTTATATCTTATTCATGCACCACAAGGTGGTCATGTGCTTGAAGTTTATAAAGAAATGGTTCAATTACAAAAAGAAGGTAAAATTCGTTCGATTGGTGTATCAAATTTTGGTGTTCAACATTTAAAATGGTTAAAACAAGCCGGTTTTGTACCAGCTGTTAATCAAATTGAATTACATCCATGGTGGCCTAATGAAGATATTGTTGATTATTGTCGAACAAATAATATTGCTATTATGGGCTATTCACCATTAGGTAAAGGACATTTTCTTAATGATCCATATTTAATAAAATTAAGTGAAAAATATGGTAAAACACCAGCACAAATTCTTATTCGTTGGTCATTACAAAATGGTTTTATTACTATACCAAAAACAACATCTGGTATTGAACGACTTAAAGAAAATATGAATGTTTTTGATTTTGTTTTATCTGATGAAGATATGAAAGGTTTATCAAACTATGGTAAAAAAAATCCACAAAATACAGGATGGGATCCAACAAAAAATAGTAAAGAACAATTTGGACCAATATAAATTTTCCCTATTTTTTCCTTAACAAGTTTTTTTCTTGAGATAATTATTATAATCAGCTAACAATTATCATTTTAATCATGCTTATTTTTTTAATGCCTTTATTTTGTTTATACTATAACTGCAATTTATTTTCAAATAAACAAGAAACAATACGATGATTTATGTGAATCATATTAACTCTTGTTTCTCGAACAGTATCAAGAATGTAACGGTGAAAGTGATCATCAATTCATTTCGACTTTATTGTAATCTATAGAGTATAAGCATAGTGAATGGAACAAGAATTTTTCAAGCGAATTTTATATCAAGTACTTGACGACAAATTTACGCTTATACTTTACTGTTCACAATTGACATCAGAGGAGGAAAGACGAGAGGAATATGAGTGAGGAAGGTGATATCAATATCGGCACAATGATGAATAAAGCTCTCTTGTACATTTTTAGTGTCGATATTAGATGAAACTATTGTTGTTATCATCTCATTTATATCTATGAGATTGATATAAATTCGATATCACTAGTTAGATTTGTGCAATTTCTCGCTTTTGCATAACTATCTCACTTGAAATATATTTTTTTGTTCACAATTTACTTCTAAAAAGTTGGCGAGAATTTAAAAAAAAGTTTAATCATGTATAAACATGTGGGTGAACAAAATCTGCTCAGTATTTTAAACTTCTACAATCTTTCCTAAGAAGATGCTTTTTTCTGAAGAAAATTGATCCTTACAATATGTTGTCAAGATACACGTAATGTTTGTCTTATCAAAATATTTTATATAGAATTGGTCACTATCGAGAAAAATGGAATCAATCATTGAGAAATGGAAAACCTTTTCTTAGTTTTTAATTATACTTGAACAAGAACAAACGGATGGTGAATTTAAAAGTTTTGACTGATAAGAAATATGAGCAAGTATGTAACTTCGATGTAGCGCTATTCTGAACTGTAAATGTGCTTTAATAAGAAACGTTAACACTTTTGTAAAAAGATTGAATCGCATATTTCCTGTTAAAATACCGGAAATATTGGATTTTTCCAATCGTTTCAAATTTAATACGAACCATTGATTAATCTCGCTGAATAGAAGTATATTTTTCCATGAAAAGAAAATGACATTAATGATTTTCTTTTTTAATAACAGAAGAAAAAAATCTTTTTATTGATTATTGGCGAGCAAGAAATTCTGGATCATTGATAAATAAACCGGTATTTTGATCGAAAGATAATTGTAGATCGGCGACTATTATTGAAAATAAAAGATTGTTTTGTGGAACTCACATATATTTTCGCAGAAAATAGTGGGTGTAAGTTTTAAGTCAAAGTTCGCGGTTTCTTTCCCAACCAATGTGTATAGCAGGCTAATATCGTAGTTCAATCGATGAAACGAAGAGTAACATTATATTTGCCGATATCTATGGCATGTATCGTAGATATATTATGATTAGGAGAAAAGAAGCTATGGGCTGAAGATGTATCTAATAATATACATAACTTTTTACAGTATAATGGCGTTCAATGAATCAAATAAACTGACAGATAAGTCATTAGAAGTGAAACATTTTCGAGAGGATAAAACTTCAAAGCGCGCTTATCGACTATGAAAATTGTTATATTTTTGACTTATTCATTTATTTGACATTTTTTTAAAACAATATATCATAAATTTATAAAAGTAAGAATTCGTGAGTTCTACACTTTGGCACTGCAAGGGACCGTACTGACAAGTTGTATCATTAATATTACAAATATATCGGTGGTTGTTTGCGACAAAAAAATATTATCAAGATTTATTCTATTACATTCAGAATGTTTAATACTACGGCATATTATATGCATGGATTCTATATCTGAGAAAATATCTGGCAAGTGTCTTCTGTTTGCGAAAATCTCGATTGAATTGACTTAAGGAAAAAAGAATGCGTCCAATTCTTTTTTCGAATAATGAAGTCTGCACGTTTGTAAAGAAGCGATTGTTTTTCACATGTTTATGAGAGACTCTTATATTGATATGAATATATAAAACAAAATCTCTATCTTTGAGATTGATGGTGATATTTTTTCAGCACATCTTTTTATTTATGTGTTTTTAAAATCTTTCTAGCAATAATTAAATAGCAACAGAAAATTATTCTGTTGTTTCAACTATCATCTAAATAGGGATGGTCAATTTACATTTACAAAAATTTATTAAATTGAAAACTAAATTCTTATGAATTTAAATTTATTTTAAATTTAAATTAACATGAATTTAAACTTGAAATAAGTTAACAGGAAAATGCCACCCCTATTTTTTATCTTTGTCTGTGTTTGTTGTATTTGATGTTGTTGATGAATCTTTATCATTCTCTTTAAAAAGAAAAACAAATGAATTTGTTCAGACGAAACATGATCAAATATATTCTTCAGATCTAATACTTTGGAACTCTTTTCTTCTGTGAAAACTGAAATATCAACTATAGGAATTTTATCTTCTGCCCAAAAAACATGATGATTGTGAATATTTTTGCAATTATTCGAGAACGGTAATAAAATAGTTCCATTTTCGAATTACTTGAATCATTTATGCTACTTTTAAAACATTTTTTCATTTGTTGAGATTTGATAAATCTTCAAATAAAAGGAAAGAATTCAAAAAACATAATGGAAAAAATGCAATTTGTCTCGGAAAAGATGATGAAAATGATCTCGGGGTGGGGTGTGGGTAAAGAAGATATGACACCCACACCCACACACCCGCATCTGAGTCTCAAATGACTATTCGTGCTTGGGTACACTATTTGTACTCAATGTCGTGGTTATCATATGATCATTTCAAACAGTGGCTGAAATCTGCACGAATTTTAAATTTCTCTAAAATGTTACCTCCAACATTCTGTTCCTGTAAATATAATCTGAAACAATATTCGTGTATTCATTCAATAGGTCTTAT